CTCTTGGGTATGCTCATTTATTAGGGTTACTCTTATGGGACTGGGGAAGGTTATCAATTCTATCAGTGTGCTGCTTGTGCTTGCTTGTGCTCTCATATGGAGCTGAATTCTCTCCCTTTTGTCAATTCCCCCTTCCACTGGAGCTCTCCTGCAGGAACTAGGTTCCTTAGGATGGGGTTCTTCCTACCGTAGCAACACACACTTACACTCAAACCCACTAACGGAGCACGCCTGAAAGGACTGGGTAATCAGCATTCACAAGCTTTCCCTTCATATGTCCCTGGATTCAGCAGGCTGAGTTAACAGCAATGCCACACTGCACCCTCATGTGCCTTTGGACTCAGTGGGCTGGATTAAACTGCACTTTAAGCTGCCATCCTCATAAGCCTCCAGGTTCAGCACCCCCTATCCCCACTTTCGCACCACAGTCATTCACTGGTAAACCACATGATGAGCAAACCCCCACAGGATTTTGGGCACTACTGGGATCTTTAGCTTGGGTACAAGAAGTGTTGTTGCAGAGCGAATGGGGAAGCCAAAACAACACCCCTTGAAGAGTGAGCGAAAGAGAAAGAAGCAACCAGCTTAATAATGAAAGTTATTTATTTCTGAGTAGTGAATAGATATCAAACGGTTACGATATTAAATCTAAATTGGAACGGATTAGAAATGTTAAGGCTAGCTAACCATATAACAGTTTACATAGGGCAGAGTCAGGAGGCTAGGCTTAGAGATAGGTAGTTGGGGGAGAGAGATCTCACTACTCCGTGGAGCTTGCACTGTTCGGGGTTCCCAGATGGTGATGGGATCTGGGGGTCCAGAGGGCAGGAGACGAGCAGAGCCCCCAGCACAATCAGACAGGAGATGAAGTCTCAATGGAATTGATGCAGTTTAAATCCAGGTATCAGAACAGTTTTTCTTGGGGCAAGGATAGGAGTTTTTATAGGGATAGGTCAATAGTTCAAAGAGAAGGAGGCGAGACAATAGAGACTGATCACGCCTGGTTACAGGTGATGGGGAGGGATAGCTCAGTGGTTTGAGCATTGGCCCGCTAAACCCAGGGTTGTGAGTTCAATCCTTGTGGAGGCCATTTAGGGATCTAGGACAAAAAATCTGTTAGGGATGGTACGTGGTTCTGCTGTGAAGGCAGGGGACTGAATTTGATGACCTTTCAAGGTCCCTTCCAGTTCTAGGAGATAGGCATTTCATTTCAACTCACAATGCAACGGTCAGTTTCAGTATTTTGGATGTCAATAGGATCGTTACTAGAATTGGTCTGATATTGACTAATTTGGGTGTGAGCAGGCCTGGGTTCATTAACATCTGGAGTAGAGATTTCCCATCAGGCAGTGCTTCTTTGCTTTCGGTATCCCATAGTTCACTGCGGTTCCTGCCTTGGAAGAGCTGGTCTCCATTCTGTATGCTAATGAGATGTCTTTCTGTTCTGTCTTCAATGCAGATGAGGCTGGGGGATTTCCTTAATTAGTTTAGGTGTGACTTTCCCGGCCTTTTCATTGCTTTGTCTGATTCTAGCAAAGGCTTACGGGAAGGGGGGGGGGACGAGTGGGGGGGGGGGGGGGGGGGGGGGTGGTTTTCCATGAGTGTCACTCCCTGGCTCCCCAAGAGTACAGGGCTGGTAGGTAACACCCCTAACATCTTGACTGTCAGGAGCTGCCTTCAAACTGTCAGTTTTGCTTCCTGTCCCAGGAAGTTCTGAGCAACAGTGTGGAAGAGATGGAGTCATGACTTCAGGAGGCTGTGGGGAGGTTTTGGGGCAGCTTTCTCTCATTGCCCTAACAGCACACGCTGCCCAGGGCTTCTACACATGCAGCCCCTAGCGGGGTAGAGGAGTCAGGGAGCAGAGCATGTGGCTGCCCTCCAGGGAAGGGGAGCAGCTCCAGTGTTCAGAGTGTTGCCTTCCCCAGCCATCCTGAGTGGGGAACTTTACCACTCCCATTCCTTGCAGGGCAGCTGCTTAGTTCCTGCTCTACTCTCTGACCCTTGCCCTCCCTATGACTAAGTGTGCAAGGATGCTTGGGAAGCATGCACCAAAATCTGTCTATGCTTTTGTGACTAGGAAGCAGCTTTCTTTGTCAAAAGCTTCTTCTAAGGATGTTAAGAGGTGGGAAATTGACTAATCATTTAGTCAATACAGTTTGTAAGGGAAGGCGCTGAGTTCTTGCTGACTCCGGGTCCAGAAACTACCCCCACTGTGGCTCTGCAGTTGAAATGTAGTAGGAGCTGGCACACAGGCAGCCCAGCTCTTACTACATTTAAAATGCAGAGCCACAGAGGGGAGTAGGTCCCAGACCTGGCACGAGCTGGGTCAGAGTAGTCCCAGCTTGCACTGGGTCCTGGACCACTGCGCCACTGCCTCCCCTGTCCCCCCTTCCTGGCAGAAACAGTGCTGGGGAGAACCAGCTTTTAAGCTGGCTCCCCCCAGCTCCTGCTCCCTCCCTTGCTGCTTCTGATACAGAGACAGTAAGGCGGGAGGGAAGTGAGTAGTCAGCTCAGCTACCCGATAAACCTAGGCTTATTGGGTAATTGACTACTTGAGTAGGCACTTACATCCCTAGCCTCTTCACTGAAAACTAAGCTTTCTGATAGCTTGTCTGCAGACCAGTGTTCAGCAGACAATGGTTTAATGCTAGTCTGAACTGCTGCTGTTTAGAAAGGGAGTTGTGGCTTCCATTTGCAATAGAGCACAGTAAACAGCACCAGAGATTGTTGGCATAGAGAGGACTAAAGGACTAAGAAACTTGCCCCAAGAGACTCTGGGATATGTCCAGAGAATGTTCTGGACCTGAGGCACACTAGGGCAGGAACAGGCAAAATACAGCCCATGGGCCAGATCTGGCCCAGCAAATGTTTGGATTTAGAATGCCACAATACTCTGGCGAATGGGAGCTGCCTGGCCTGGGTTTGTAAGTTTCTGCAGTACCTGGAGACCTGCTAACCTCTCCCTCCAAGGAGCGTACTGCTCAGATAAACGCATACTGGCCCCAGCAGTTGACTGTTTTTAGCAGCATGTAGAGGCACAGCAGGCATGGAGCCTACTCAAGTGTCCTGCCGGGCTGTCTAAGGTAAGTACCTCCTGGCAGAGGTGGCAACCTGGCAAACTGCTCCCTCCTGTACTCCATCTCTCTGCCCCCGGTCACAACCCAAGCCCTCTGCATCCCTGTCCCTGGTCATAATTCCCTCCCAGACCCTGTACCCCCCGCTTCACTCTAGTCCCCCACACTAGGTCACAACCTTCTCTGTCACCAAGATTCCCTTCAAGCACTCCAGTCATCTACCTAGAGCTATTTCCTGTACGCAGCTTCAGTCTGAGACTCTGCATACCCTTCATTAATATAATAGAAAAGTATAGCCCTTGACCACTTAATGTATTCTTGGAGTCGTCCCCCATAAGAAATTATTGCCCACCCCTGAGCTAGGGCCACATGCACACAGGAAAGCAGCAAAACTTGAATCCTGGGTCCCAGTTCAACACTAGCTAAGTCTCTCCAGACTTTCAGGGTCCTGGACTCAAAGTTCAAATTCTACATTAACACAGTTGGTGTGTGGATGCATTGCTGTATAGACATACCCTTAGCCTGAGCCCCATGATCTTGATCCTGCTAACATTGGTTCCGTGGGTTTTTTTAAATTCTGTGGAGACCTACTCTGAGACATGAAATGGTTTACAAAGTTGCTGTGCTCCTTTTTCAGGTACTACAAATTCTGTATTGTAGATTTACATTTTTACATGTAGTTTTGAGAGGTGGAGTTTGGGGGTGTCCTGATCTATCTCTACCTTTTGGTGAGGATTTTTTATCTGCATTGTATCTGTTCTAGCTTAATGGTTCCAAAAGGGCAAAGATAACTTATCGCCTTAAATTTTGTATTTGGATCTGAACAACATTACTTCAAAAGATCTCATCTACTTGGCTACGTCTAGACTGGCATGATTTTCCACAAATGCTTTTAATGGAAAAGTTTTTCCGTTAAAAGCATTTGCGGAAAAGAGCGTCTAGATTGGCACGGATGCTTTTCCGCAAAAGCACTTTTTGTGGAAAAGTGTCCGTGCCAATCTAGACGCGGTTTTGCGCAAGAAAGCCCCGATCACCATTTTCGCCATCGGGCTTTTTTGCGCAAAACAGTTTTTAGCTGTCTACACTGGCCCTCTTGCGCAGAAACATTTCCGGAAAAGGGCTTTTGGCCAAACGGGAACGTCAAAGCATTTGTGCAAGAAGCACTGATTTTGGACAGTAGAACGTCAGTGCTTTTGCGCAAAATCAAGTGGCCAGAGTAGACAGCTGGCAAGTTTTTGCGCAAAAGAAATTGCTTTTGCGGAAAAACTTGCCAGTCTAGACGCAGCCCTTATGTTTTTTCTCAGGTTTTGTATAGTAGTTGACTTAGGATTTTCAATGGGTTTTCTAATCTGATTTCTTATTCCTAGTGTAGTTTTAATGCTTGTATTAAAAGTCACTGGCCTGTAGCAATATTGGTAAGTGCCTTCCATTGTTTTGTGAAAAATTGAGAGCTTTTGAGATTTGTTCTTGATTTGATGCAGAACAAACATGAGACTAAGATGATAGCCACATTCCCTCTGCAGAAAGGAAACACGACTGTGCTCCCTACCAAAGTCTACTTAAATGTGATGTAGGAGCTGCTGTGCTAGCTTTGTGCTACTTAAGGGATCATCCTATATTAATCCTCTAGGAACAAGATGTGGTGGTTGAGATACCAAAATCTATTGGTGGAACAAAGGGACTGTGCTGCACTTCCAGGTTCTAGACATATATATATATATATATATAATACTTGTGTAAGATTCAATGCATTATTTAAGGTATAGCAAGATCATGTAAAATCATAACCTTATCTGAGTGTTTAATATAAAAGGAGATTCAATAATATAGTGTTTTGAATGATTGGTATATAGTGATTTCTGTTGTTTCTGTGTCTATAAATATGTCCTTCTTTATGTAGTTATATATTTAACTTTTGTCTTATAGGCTCATCCTAAAGTATGTGAAAAGTTAAAAGCTTTAATGATGGAGTGGTCAGAAGAATTTCAAAAGGATCCTCAATTTAGCTTAATATCTGCAACTATTAAATCTCTTAAAGAAGAAGGAGTAACTTTTCCTGCAGCTGGATCTCAGGTAATGACAGATATAATTCTGATCTGACACATCTGAAAGCCTAAATGTACAGTTTAAAAGACACTTTCCATAATCTCAGAATTTGTCAAGAATAATCTCGCGTGTGCGTGTGCGCGCGCGCGCGCGCACACACACACACACACACACACAGAAAGTATTATGTGCTGATTAAAATAATTTCATGAACTTTGACTCTTGCCCTGCTTAAACATTGAACGATGCTTTTTGTCTGATAGCCAGCTGGGACTTGTCAAAACAAAAATAAGATTCTTGCTTTGGAGGTAAAAGCATATGTTATAAAGGAGAGATAGGGCTAAGGCTTAAATTCATGGATGGAGAGTTCTTGGGTCAGGTTTGCACTGCCAAACTTCTGACTAGGGATGTTAAAAAGCATTTATTTTTGTACACATGGAATCACTGAAAATTTCAGTGGTTACATTTTATGGGGTGGGGGGGGGGGGGGGAGGAGGGCGCTGTGGGAGGCAGCAGCGGAGGGTTAAAGCCAGCTTCTGCCGAGCTCCTCCACTCCCCTTGCTGCTGCCTCTGTATCACATTACAATTAAAGGATTCATTGCCCATTACAATTTTTTCTTGCAAAGAATGTTTGTATAGGACTCATGAGAAACAGTTTCACCAATAGGGCCTTAAATTGAGTGTACTGTTGCTGGGACCTCAAGCCCCTTTCTCTGGTAGGGTTTCTGAAAGCTTCGAGGAGAATCCCACACTGTGGTATATGTGCCTTGCTTTATTCCTGTTAATCTCTTTAAGGTAGCAAATGACCAGTTTTAGTTCCTTTCTCCCTCAAACCCCAAACTAGTAGGAGTGGAGAGAGGCTCTTTGTCTTACAGGAAGAAAAGTCTCCTTGTGAAGTCATTGCTTAGGTGCTCTTCAGTGTGACTTCCTTTGTTGTTGCTATGTTTTAAGGGAATTGCATTGCAACAGTGGGCAGTATGAGGGGCAGAGGGCATACTGCTGTGCAGAGATGGGTAGAAACAACAGTAATAAATGATCTCCTTGTGCCTAAAAAAAACAAACTAAAGCCCGGGAAAAACATTTTTAAAAAAGTGATTTCCACTTATTGATGAAATGATGGTGAGGTAGGGATCCCTCTTTACATAGTTAAAAAAACCAGTAACTATAACTTCTTTGAGTGATTGCTCATGTCCATTCCATGTATGTGCACGTGTCATTGGAAGTTTCTTCCTTTGCAATTCCCATTGGGCTAGCAGAGGAGCCCCCTGGAGTTTCACCGTAATCGGTTAATACATACCTCTGCTGGCCCTCCACCCCCTCAGTTCCTTCTTACCACTGGCTTAATACATCTCATGATGTTCTTGGAATGTGCTTTTGTTCTTGCTCTGCAAGCAGGTCTTGGCAGTTCTCTCTCGTTTAGCTAGTTAAAGTTTCACGGTTCACTGTTCTTATCTACGTTGTTAATAGTTGTTAAGTGTTGTACTTAGTGTTGAACTACTCAGGTGCCTAGCTCGCTTTGCATCCCCTTCTTGTTAGGTGAGACTTGTCTGATCCCCAAGGCTTCAAGCCCTATGAGAAATGCCAGAAGCCTATGCGTTGTGGAGACCCCCATGGAGCCTGTCTCAAGTGCCTTGGTGAAGTCCACCTGTCTGAGGTGTGTAAGATCTGCAAGGGCTTTAAACGGTGTACCAGGCAGGAAAGAAAGTCCCACTTGCAGATCATCCTTATGGAAGCGGTCCTACGCCCAGCACCGTCATCTGACCTGGCACTAATGAATCAGTGCGCTGGCTTTGGTGCAGGAGGCATTCAGTCGCTCGCACACCTCTCTAGTGCTGTGAAGGCCTCGGCACCAGTCTTAGTCCCCGGTGCCCTAGAAGGAAAGGAGACCTAGCAAGGGCAGCTCTCCCTTGAGGCACATGCTCACTGTGCACCCTCAGGCGGGGCACATGGCACCAACGAGCACAACACCTGAACCATTGCAGGTGGGTGGACACCGCTCTAGCCCGTGCCGAGTCTCCATCCCAGCAGGGGACCTCCCGGAGTCCTCTTTTCTGGACACTTTTGAGGCAATGAGAGACTTGATTGAGCTGACCTCTTCCCCAACCTTGGCACCAGTCCCAGCTAATGAGCGTGAGCCCAGACAGCACCGAACTTTGACCTTGGCACCTAGTGCCCCAGAAGTGAGAGGGCATCATTACCCCACCCCGGGGACGTCAACTTTGACCCCGGTGCTGGGTTTGGCACTACTCCCAGTCTCAGCATCGACTGCAGTTCTTACCCGGACCTGCGCATCAGCAACAGTACTAGAGTCAGCACTAGCACAGGGCCCTCACGCGGCGTTGACCCTAGTACTTGGTCCTCTAGCCATGGGCCCCTCTTGTGACGGCGCGTTGGGGGTTCCCCGTCTCCTGCACCCCGAAATGGCACAAACAGACTCCACCAGCCAGTGGAATTGAGGGTGGTTTATTGCTCCTCCAGCACAGCGCAGCACAGATGTAATCTGGTTACAGGAACTGGGGCTAAGAGGCTTCAGTGCCCCCCCTTGAGGTAGGGGAGTCCCAGCCCCCTCCCCAGCTCCTTATTCCCTGCCTTCCAGCCAGGAACTAACCAACCCTCTTCCAGCCCTGCCCCCCAGCCAGGGCAGCATTCCCCCTTCCTTTGTTCCTCTCCATGGGGGGGTGTCTGGCCACTGGTCCAACAAGTTTGGCATTACCTTGGCCTAGTGAGGCTTTCCCTGCTGGGTCTTGCTCCAGACAGCAGGGGTCACCACAGCCCAGCAAGTACCCCCACTACGTCACACCTCTCTATTGGGCAGATGGGCACCACCACCGGCTATGCCCCTGTCTCCTCCTCGGCACTGGGAGAAACTGGAGTCAATGGCCCAGCATGCTCCAAGTGGAGGTTGCCAGCCATCACCACCACCCCACCGTTCTGGTCAACCTCGGAGTATTCACCTGACTTGGATGCAGAATCAAGCTGGTCATCCTGGGGCTCCAGGTCAAGGTTGTGGCACTGATCCTACTTCCTTCGCCAATTGTGGCATCGTAGCACCCGCAACTTTGGCACCATGAGCAACAGCAGCCATGGCCCCAGTCTACCCCGGTACCAGCCGTGCAGCAGTCCTGGCCACCACAACTGCAGGCCCTGAGTCAGTGGCCTTTCTGGACCCCCAGGACCTACCACAAGAGCCAGAGTGTAGGCCCCTCTAGACTGGAGTCTTCCCAGGGTCCCCCCTTAGTAACCCAATTGACTCGCTCCCCGACATCGGAGCAATCTCTCTTCCTTCCCCCCCCCTCCTGGTCTACATCCTGCAGCCTGACACCCCCCCACCAGAGTGGCCTTACCCATGAATAAAACCTTGACAAAGATCAGGAAGGCCCTCTGGCAAACCCAGCCTCTATCCCGCTGACTGATAAGAAGATTTGGCAGAGGTACTTTGTACCACAAGAGGGGAACGAGCACCTTTTCTCCCACCCACCTCCGGAGTCCCTGATCCTCCAGGCGGTGAACCAGAGGGAGAGGCAAGGACAGCTTGGCACACTTAAGAGTAGGGATGCAAAAAAGATGGACTTACTGGTCAGAAAGGCTTATGCCTTGGCGTGGCTTCAGCTTCACATAACAAGCCAGAAGGTCCTGCTGAGTCGCTATGTATAACACATGGGCTGCCATGGACAAGTTCGCCAGGCTGGTCCTGAGGAAGAGACCGCCTAAATTTAGATTCCTCTTGGAAGAGGACAGAGTGGTCCTTCATGCTGCCTTCCATGGACAACTGCATCACCTGGACACAGTTGATGCAGCAGCCCACACCATGGCCATGGAGTTGGTCTTGCACTACAGCTCTTGGCTGCAGGTGTCTAGAGTTCCTCCTGAGCTTCAGACCACCATTCAGGACCTCCCATTCGAGAGACCATCCCTCTTCTCTGAGCAGACTGGCCAATGTCTGCACAGCCTCAGGGATACTTGGGCCACCCTAAAGTCTTTCAGGATCCATACGCTGGCAGCCCAAAGGAGTTCCCTGCCAGCAGGGCATACTCCTTGATTTCTCCTGGCTTAGGGGGAGAAATAGGAACAGGAGAAGTAACAGATGCTATTCCCGCCCAGCTCAGGATCAGGGCCAAAGCCTCTCCAACAATCCCCAAGGGCCCTGCCAAGGATTTTGAGGGTACACCTGAGGGAAGCCTACTAGCCTCACCTTTCCTGTTCAGGGACTGCCAGTTCCCTTTTTGCTGGGACTGGGAGCCCATTACTTTGGACCAAAGGGTCCTGGAAACAGTAGGAAGGGGATCCCCTTCCTTTCACTCCCTCCCACTTACCCTCCTGCCCTGTCCCTCTTCTGGGACCCCTCTCACGAGCATCTCCTCTGGGAGGAGGTGTGACATAGTGAGGTGCTCTCTGCTCTGTAACCCGGTGTTCCTGCTGCTCTGTGGTGTGTGATTCCCACTGACTCACCCATATGTGTATTGGTCCAGACACCTAGTCCCAGCCTGAGCTAATAACAAGGTTCTTCCCAGGGGGAGAGACAAAGGAAGGGAGGTGGAGACGGCCACCTTGCTGTGGGGGCAGGGCCTGCGAGCTGGGCAGTCTTGGCTGGGAAAACATGGAGAAGAGACTGAACTGAGTGCTGGGGGTTCAGGGACCTATGTTCCCCTGCCCCAAGGGGTCTAGGGCTGCCTGGCCCTGACTCCTATATCCACATCATGCCTAGGCTGTGCTGTATTCTGGAGGAGCAATAAATCCTCTGTATTCTACTGGTTGGCGGAGTCTCATCTTGATGCAGACAGGGTGCAGAATTGGGGGGTACCCGACACGCCGTCACAGGCGGTACAACAACTCCTCCGCTTAGAAGTGGACAAAGTGGTCTCCCAGGGGTTCTTGGGCAGGGGTTTCTACTTCCGGTATTTCCTGTTTCCCAAGGCCAAAGGGACCATCCTGGACCTCAGGGAACTCAGTGCCTTTATCACCAAAGCCATGTTCAATATGGTGACACTGGCGTCCATCATCCCCTCCCTGAGTCCCAAAGACTGGTACGCTGCCCTTGCTCTAAAAGATGCCTACTTCGGTATTTCAATTGCACCGCACCACAGGTGGTTCCTCCGCTTTACAATGGGCCAGGACTATTATCAGTTTACCATAGACTCTCCCATTTGGCCTTTCTGTGGTCCATCGAGTGTTCACAAAGTGTATGACCATCGTCGCCGCTGCCCTGAAAAAGCAGGGGATCCAGGTGCGCCCCTACATAGACGATTGGCTTCTCCAAGGCCCTTCCTTGGACTAGGTGCTGACCCACATCATTCTAGTATGAGACCTTTTTTGGAAGCTGGGGCTGAATGTGGCCAAGTCAACCCTGGTCCCCACCCAGGTGTTAGTTCATGGGCACCCATCTGGGCTCTGCGTGGGCCACAACCTCACTCCCCAAGTCCCGTTTTCTAGTGATCGAGCCGGCCATCCTGGACATGCAGGCGTTCCTGATGGCCATGGACAAGACCTACATGTGCCTCCTCAGGCTTGTGGCCACCTGCACCTATGTTGTTCAGCACATTAAGCTTTGCATGCGCCCACAGTAGATGTGACTGGCATGAGTTCATAATCCATTCTTCCACCTTGGGAGAGAGTGGTGATGGTTCCCCCCAATGTCCTCTGTTGCCTGGATTGGTGATCCCAGGAGGAGGTAGTCTGCGCCAGAGTCCTGTTCTCCAGGCCTTTACCAATCCTTTGGTTAGTGATGGACGTGTCTGATGCTGGTTGTGGGGGGGCTCATCTTGACAACATGTGGATCCAAGGGATGCCGTCGACAAATTA